TAGCCATCCATTGCAGCACTCCAGTTGAGTGAGTCATCCCACCATGTTTCCGTGATGGCAACTATATCATAGCTTTCCTGCTGCACAATGGCTTCCAGCTCCTCCTGTTTGTTGCCCATGCTGCATGCATTGGTATAGATGCACTTCAGTTGGGCTATTCGTCCCTCCACCTTTTTGGGGGGAGAAGCCCGAATTCCTATGTGACTGTTCTCAGGCACTTCTGCGGTTTCTAACACATCCATAACCCTTGCGTCTTCACTGCCACATGGATCTCCATCCCCTACCTCCACTGAGATGGCAGACTGAAGGACCTCGCTAGCACACTGTCCCTCAAACATTAGCGTGTCACCCCCAGGCTTATCTCCAGTGAGCCTGGTTTTATCCTTTTCCCCTTCAAATCTAGTTTAAAGCTTTTCTAACACATCCATAACCCTTGCGTCTTCACTGCCACATGGATCTCCATCCCCTACCTCCACTGAGATGGCAGACTGAAGGACCTCGCTAGCACACTGTCCCTCAAACATTAGCGTGTCACCCCCAGGCTTATCTCCAGTGAGCCTGGTTTTATCCTTTTCCCCTTCAAATCTAGTTTAAAGCTCTTAAAGAAAGAAAGGTACTTGTTCAGCAGCTGCCTAACCCTAGAGGCAATTAAATTGATTGGGTACCTCTCTGCTGGGCTGCAGAGATCCCCCTGGAACCTGCAGTTCTGCTCCTGTGTGTGCCCTGGACTGTCCTGGCCACATATCTTTGCTACTTGCCCCTGCCTAGGGCGGATCAGGATCCCAAAACTAGGCAGAGGGGTACTGCAGTCTGTGGAGGCCCCTCAACAAGCCCAGTGAGACCACCTCCACCACACACTGCCATACACCACCCACAGCTCTTCTCACCTCTATGTACACGTTCTGCATTAAACAACCCTGAATAAAATCACCCCAGGAGCAGAACTTGCTCTTGCCTTTCCTCCTTCCCCATGCCAGCTGAGTGCTCTACCCACTAGTGCTCTTCCCTTGGGATGTGCTTGTGCCATGGTGCCCAGCCTTGCTCAGGACAAGCTCCATGCAGCCCATCGCTCTGTGACTCTGCTGGCTTTCCCCCAGCACGTACGCCCGCAGCCGAAGCACCTACCAGGGTTTGGGTACCCAGGCAGGGGCAGGCACACAGCTTGTATGTACTTGGACCTAGCCTTAAGCAGGGAAGAAGACATTTGGCAGCAGAAGGCTCTTCCCCTTCGCAGAGTAAGGCATCGTGAGATTAAAAGGCTGCAGGATGAGACTTAACAGATTCAGACTCGGGACAAAAAACAATAATAATTAACAATGTGGGTGATTAGGCAGTGGAAGAGCATGCTAAGGTCTGTGGCTGGTTCTTCAGTGCTGAATATTTTACACCAAAATGTCTTTTTCTCAAAGAGATGCTCTAGTTCAAATGGGATTGAATTAGGTCAGGGGAGTTCTCTGACCTGAGGTAGGTAGAAGATCACGCAGATAATCCACATACTCCCTCTGGCCTTGTGACTAATTCCCTTTGGTACAGCTACTCCTGATGTGAGATCCGCTCGGACCTGTGCTTGCCCTCAGGAACTTATACACTAATTACATTTGTTGTGTCAACCCATTAGATACTCATAGGCTGCATGCAGACTCATTAGTTAGACTGAATTATGTCTTTGCTCTTTGAACGTTATCAAAACGTTCGGATCTAGCATGTTTCATGGTCTGCCACCATTACTCCTTTGTACACAGATTTCTGTGGTTACTCCTTGCTAACAAACCACAGACTTTTAATGCGCATATGCTGGTTTCGGTTATTTCGTAGATTGAAACTATGGTGGCTGATGTTATCCTGATCTTTTAAATTTATCTTACTTTTGATGAAACCCTTTATTGTTAGATTTAAAAAAAAAAAAAATTGTTTCAGATCTCATACATTAACTTTGTTTTATAAAACCTGGCAGCCCAGATTCCTACAGAAGATGTACAGAAGGCTCACGCGTCGAAAGCCTGCAGGCCTTTGGTACCTCCACACCTGCAGTGCCTGCAAAGAAGCCTGGTCCATGGTCTTTCCCAGTGAGCAGGATGTTCATGGAAGGTGGGAGGTGATAGAGAGGTATAAATATAATGGCAAATGCATAAAGCACCTGGATTCAGTGCAAATGAGCTGTTTTGCTTGGAGCTGGCTCTAGACTACTCTGAATTTTCCTAGGGCACAGCTAGGCAGTCAGACTTTTGCTGCGGAAACCTCAGGTCTCTGTACCTCCTTCAGAGTCTGAAGCAGTCTGCCTCATTTCTTCCCTTCCCCCTTTAAGAACAAACAAACAATGAGGAACTGGTCTTGGGAGAGTTTTGAGAGGCCACCGCTGTGTTCCAGCTGCAGTGATGTTCCACTGGGCTCTGGGGGAGTGAAGGTCCATTGGGTGTCATCTTCATGTCTTCATTCCGAGTTATTCTTTCTGGGGGAGCCCAGTGCCCCATGACTGCGGGAATATCAAGAGCTGCCCCAGAGCCACTCTCTTCATTCACATTTATCCACCAATTTGCATTCTTGCTGTGCTGGCTGTGCATTTAATGTGTGAATAATAGGTTTTTATGACTGTTATTCAGCACCTACATACTTTTGCTGGAAGGAGGGTGGAGGAAAGCAGGGTGGGGAGGTTTTCAGTTAATGAAACTGTTATTATTTGCTGACAAGATCACTGAGTATCTTAAGAAGTGGGAATTTGATCTCCTTCCAAGTAACTAAATAGGAATTTGCACTGCAGAATATGTGTGAAGCATGTGTATTCCAGGAAAAAAAAAAGAAGAGCATTTACAGTCCCATTGCCTAGGGACTTTAACATCTGTGAGGAAACAACATCAGTGATCACACGGTGTCCACGTTCTTTACGACAGCTTGATTATTTTAGCTCCGGGCCAGTGGAGCAGTACATGAACACACCCTCCTGCTAGGCCCACCTTACGTGAACTCAACCTCATGGCAATCCCTCTCTTGTGCTTCAGATATTCCTGAACCTTCATCTAGCCTGGGAAAATAAGTTCATCGTGAAGCAGGTATGCAAGAAACACGTTCCAGCTGACTGGGTTTTTCACATGCAGACATTGGTGAGGCTAACACTGGTGGAGTCCTCAAGAGAGCATGAGAGTGGTCCAGGTGTCTTGGCTCTGAGAGGCATTTGGGGGGTCCCTGAAGGAGAGTTGGGCTTTGAGTCCTGCTCCTGCAAAGTTGCAGTCACATAACATACACGCCTGAGTCCCACCGGGACTGCAGTTCCACTGCCCCCTCCTACCCAGGGACCAGCCGGAGTTAGAGACGTGTGGCCCAATGCTTCCTGGACGTACGGCCCTGCAGGCAGCCGCGGGGGCTGACCATGCTGCCCACACCGTGACTCCAACGCTGCCACCACAGACCCAGGCCTGTCATCGATCCCACCCGGGATCCGGAGGTGCTCGGGGGTCAAGGAGGTTGTTGGCCATTAAGGCAAGGGCATAAATTGGTGCGCAGTGTCTCAAGCGCTGGCTGGCTGGCTCCAGTTAAGGAAGAGGCTGCTGTGGATGAAAGCCCCAGAGGATGGCATGCAGCCCCCCTGTGCTCGGGAGTGCCAGTACCCAAGCACCTTGCTGTCAGCTGCAGCCGCTGGCCAAAGGGGCGGAAGAAAGGGCCGAGTACCCACTAAGGAGGAGAGGAGACATTTCACTCATTTAATTTCACAGCTTCCAAAACCAGCCTAAAACTGGGGGTAGAGAACAAGTGAGAAGAAAAGCACTGTTTACATAATCCTTTGGCAGTGAAATGGGTCAGCGGTTCTTGCGGGAGAAGAGGAATGCAGTTTTTAAGAAATAAACAGCATCGCTGTACTTGGTAATAGCTGGACAGTCCTGCTTTCCTGGAGAGTAATACAGAAGCTTATGATGGGCTTATATACCTTGTCTTTTTGGCCCACGGTCTCTGCTCCGAACACAACTCTGTAAAATGGAACATTCCTGCTGTTTTCTTTAAACTAATCTGTAATTCCTTGGCCATAACGCAAAGGGAGGCACCCATCTGTTTGTTTTTTTTTCTCTCTCTTCCACAAATGTCCTTGTTTGTGTTAACTAGCAAATCTAATCATCCAGCTCAGAGGAGAGTTACACAACTGCAAACCCCCTGAGATTTCAGTCTAATAGCAAATCTTGCTTAATACCCCCATGTTCCCTTCTTGCTTCAGATTTGCAGCTCCTTTGGCATTACAGCTGTGCTGTGCTTTTACATATAAACCAGATTAAACAGCAAAAGGAATGCTGAACAGAAAAGCTGTGTTATTTCCACCTTGCAGGACTTACTGAAATGAGCCTGGCTGTATTAAATGTGAGATAAAGCTCCCACAGGGAGCATTAGTCTGAGTGATTCATATAAACACTTAAAGAAGTCAGTCTTGGTTGAGCTTCCTAGTCAAATAAGGTGGGTAATGGTGTGCAACCAGCAGAGCCCCTCTCCTTTGGAGAGCACCGCTGATAGAAACCTAACTGTTGTTTATCCTTACTGGGAAGCAGCAGGATGAGTATTGGGTAACAACAGATAACCCGGGGTTTGGGTCCTTTTTCAGGCAAGGAATTGCAAGTATCTTTTCTGTGGAACTGCCTAGTGCTGTGAAATGTTCTTCATCTGCGCCCTTGATGTGGGCCATCTGGAGAGGAAAATCTCATCAACCTCTAGAAATGCAGCCAGGTTTATGATCACTTTCTTTTGCAGTTGACTTTTAAGGGAGATAATTTATCAGGAGGAAGTCTGAAGGAAAGGTGAGTTACAGGTATGTGCATTTAATACATGTTGATAAAGGCGTAGATGAAGTTGCTTTCTTTCCCTCTGGTCTGCACTGTCTGGTTTTCAGGAGCCATCGCTCAAACCCATCCTTCCTGTTAGCTTTTTGCCTCCACCCACATGCTACGGGGCCTGATTCTGACCTCAGCACCAGTGCTGCAGCCACCGGCATGGCTGCTGCGGGGTGGTGTGAGTGAACAGCACCAGCGGTCACAGGCTGGGGGGTCCCCTGCTGTAATACTGAACTCTCCTCTCTATGAGCTGAAAAAATGCCACGTGCTGGGGCACCCACCTGCACGACATCTTTTCTGGGTGACTTCCACAGGGCGCTTCTCTCGGCTTGCTTTGGGCCAGTGCTGCAGCCACCGGCATGGCTGCTGCGGGGTGGTGTGAGTGAACAGCACCAGCGGTCACAGGCTGGGGGGTCCCCTGCTGTAATACTGAACTCTCCTCTCTATGAGCTGAAAAAATGCCACGTGCTGGGGCACCCACCTGCACGACATCTTTTCTGGGTGACTTCCACAGGGCGCTTCTCTCGGCTTGCTTTGGGCCCTACCTGCCCGGCTTGGCAGGCGGGTCTCCCCCTCTTTTCTGGGTGACTTCCACAGGGCGCTTCTCTCGGCTTGCTTTGGGCCCTACCTGCCCGGCTTGGCAGGCGGCTGGCTCCCCTGTCACAGCGGCTTTGCCAGCTCTGGAAGCAGCCCTAGCATCAGCCGCTGCAGGGATGCTAATAGAGCCGTAGCTGAAAAAAAGCACATCGCTGAAAGCGTAGAGCTGGGTAGCCAAGTTTCTGCAGCACTTCCAGATGTGAAGCGGGGGAGTTGGTTTTAGCCTATTTTACGGATTTTTTTAATTCTTTCTGATTTTTTTTTTTTAAAGCACCATGTAAACACACTGCGAACAATTTGTACTGTTCGCTCACATTCAGCTGCATGTTCCCAGTGGTGGTTGCTTAGCATTTTTTCTAGCTGAGACTTTCCGACCGATGCCCCATCTGTGTGCTGGGGCAGGTCAGCAGCAGAGATCTCTTCCACCGAAATCTGAGCAAGAACTGTCCCATGCCCACTCTGTCCCATGTGTGACTTCTGCCCTCGGCCTCCAAGGTAATCCCGTCCTGACAGACCGCTCCATGGACCAAGGAGGGGCAATGCCTACGCTCACTCAACCAGGAGGCAAAATTCCTCTTAACTTTGGGGAGTTTGGGCTGAATAAGGACTGTGTGATTTTGGCCAATGAGTTTGGCAAGGAGTGCTCCAAGGAGGCATTATTGCTGAGTAACTTCCCGTCTGCGTGGGCACTCAGGAGAAGGGTCAGAGGCTGCTGGAGACTCACACCGGGTATTTATTTCTCCAGGGAAGCAGGAGCTTGGACCCAAACCTTGGTCTGCCTGTCAGCATGCTGCACTGGTGCTTCAGCTTCTCCCTAACATGCATCTTAGGGACCAACATCACCGATTTTGTCCTGCCTGTAGTTTCAAGGAAACTCCTTAACAAATCCTGCAGCATTGTCTGGGGAATTAAATGTGATTGTGAGGGGGGATTAAGTTGTGAGAGGAACTAAAGAAACCTTCTGTGCAGCCTGTCAATGCTTCTTTTCAGGTGATAAGAAATGAGTGTGACGATGCCCTGGTTCCTGCTGCTCCTTCTCCTGGTCGGCTTCAGCTCACCTGCACCCAGGTTTTCGGTGCGTATCTCTTAGCCAGTGCCTGTACAACCTTCCAATGGTTTATCATTCCCAGTCATGTAGAGATAGGCGCTCCCCCACAAAAGGGACATGGGCTTGCAAGAGCAGAACAAAAAGGTGCCTGCTTGCAGCTAAAGGAAGGTCACTCTTGCTGTCTTGATAATACAGGGTTTTCATGGCATTAGAGGATGGGCAGCTCTCTGGATGGCTGGACTGACATTGCCAAGAATTAGAAACAACAACAAAAGCCCCTTAAAGAAAAAAAAAGTGATTTTATGGCCACTGAAGAAACACACTGCTCCATTCCCTCAGGGAAAACTGCCTTCATTTATTCATTGCGATTTAAAAAGCAGAAAGGGGAAGAGGTGGTAGGCATAGTCTGAGGCAATCTGTACTCTTCTGGTGAGCAAATTACTCTTGGGCCATCCCAAGGAGGTCCAGAGCTTGGCAAGGAGAGTTTGGCGAGCTCAGGGCTGTCTGCAGCAGGTCCCTGTGTGCCTCCAGCCTGGAAATCCTCTGTGGAGGAAAACCAACAGGCCTAGAAGAAGGAAGAGGCAGCTGGGAGGCCGTGTTTGAGCACGCTTGTCAGTCCGCTGTCCTGGGCAACTGCTTATTTTGCTTATGCCTAGAACTGGTCCTAACCTGGTATCACTCAAGCCAGCTTGCCCAGAGCGAAAATAGCAACTGATTCTTATTTCACGAGTTTGCTTGGTTGTCTTGAAAGAGATTTTGCTCTGTTTTGTTATGCTTTTAATGGAGTAACACCAGTCACAGACTAGGTTGTTGCTGAAAATGTTTATCCCAGTCAGTGTGGGCCAGATTCTGGTCTCGGTTATGGTAATGCAGCTCTGAAGTTACTCCACTGATCCTGGTAGGCTCACTGCTTTCCGCTGATTTGCACCAAATATCAGTTCTTTTATCTTCCAGTTTTACAAGAAGATGTTTCTAGAACCTCACTGGTTTGGCCTGGCTGCAGTGCAAGAGCCATTTTTTTCCCCCTCTCACTACCCTGAGCAGTTTCATAGTCTGCAAACACTCCCTTTGAGTTCACTAAATGGGAGTCAAGACGAATGATTTTTATCCAAAGTCATTTTCTGTGTACCTGATCATATTCTGGTCTGCTCTGAGCAGTGGCAAGATCATTGTAGAAAACCCTTTTCCACTGGGTTCAACTCAACAGCCCATGCTGTACACAATTCGTGTATCTTAGAGACCACCGTTGAATCATCCTGATCCACGGAGGCAGTGTGACATGTTAGGATCAAGAGGAGAGAGATACTCCTTCTCTCTCTGTTCTTACCACTGACTGAAGCGTGGGGTTTTTTTGTTTTATTTTCTCCATAGGAAAAAGATATCTGCCTCCTAGACAACAATAAATTAAGACAAAGGTTACAACAGCTTCAAGACTTGCTTTACTTATATGAACTGCAAATGAAGGACATCCTGGAGAACACTTACCATAGAACAAAAAGTAGGCTTTTCTCAGGCAACAGGAGTGTGCAGCATGAGACGCTTTTACCCACAACCAGTGGAAATTTGATAGTCTATGACCAAGGTACGGTTTGCAGTAGTGTATGTGGAAATTTCAGCTTGCCACAACGTTTATTTCTCCCTGCAGTGTCCCATGTGTCATATCTTATTTCTGCTAAAAGTTTTAGAATTTTTAAAGTGGATTGTGTTTTAAAATGCAGTCAGATACATGGGAAGGAAAAGGGCAGACTGGTGGCCCTGGTACCAGCAGACATTCCCTGGGGCTGGAGTCAGCTGGCCCAGCTTTAGGCAGCTACCGCCCAGGTACAAGGCAGACATCTGCAGCTGGGCTTCTCACCTGGGACTCTGGTGCAGAGAGGAACAGGCACCTCTCAGATGTTTTCCATCAGACCTGCTTTAGACATCTGCTTTAGGAAGAGATGGGTCTTGCTCTTGAAGAGTCCATTTTCCCCAAGTGACTTATGGGAGCCCAGAGTGCCCGGCTCAGCTGCCAGCATTGAAACCGGTTTGGAGGAGCCCAGCCTCCCTGTTCCTCGGCTCTTCATCACTTCTGTGGCACAGTAGCAGGTGTGCATACTCTGTTCCTTGGTGTCGCTTTGAGAACACGGTCATAACTGGAATTGTGGCCTGTGGCCAAGATTTTCTCCTTCATGGGCATTACATTCAACAGGCTGCCCAGGGAAGTGGTTGAGTCCCTATCCCTGGAAGTATTTAAAAGACGAGTAGATGAGGCACTTAGGGACATGGTTTAGTGGGCATGGTGGTGTTGGGTTGACGGTTGGACTCGATGATCTTAGAGGTCTTTTCCAACATCAATGATTCTATGATTCTATGATTCTACATTGAAAGTGTGAAGCACTGAGGTCCTGAAAGGCACTCTCCTGATACAGCCCTGGTAGAGCCAGTCACAGGAACTTAGCCTCTTATTTTAGAAATTTTGGGCCCCAATCCAATCTGAAGTACAGCTGAGGTTATCTTCCACATGGAAATTAGCTTCCCTGCAAATAATCTTGCTGACAGAGCCAGCCCTTGTCCTGCATCACTTCCGTGCTATAGCCCCAGCCTGAGCTGCAGCCGCCCCGTATCTCACCAGAGATTTGGGAATGACTCCCTCAGAGGGCATGGCTGTAAAGGCTCTCAAGCCTTGCTGCTCTACATCAGGCCCAGCAGTTTGCAAACCAGCATTACTAGTACATTACTGAACCATTTGCTTTGGCTTTGTGGGGCTTGCAGAGCTATACACCCGCTGCCTGAGCGTCCTTGTCCCATATAGCCTCTCAGCAATGTCTTTTCTTGGCTGCATATACCCCTTCGCTTTCTTCCCCCCCCCTGTTTAACAAATCAATATTGTGCTGCCTAGATTGCTCTGCAGTGTATAATCAGAAGAAGACCAAAAACGGCTACTACCGGATCAGGCCCAGGGCAGACCGAGAGCCTTTCCTGGCATACTGTGACATGTCTGACGGTGGGGGGTGGACCGTCATTCAGCGGCGGAGTAACGGCAAGGAGAATTTCAACAGGTGGGTGCACCATGGTTGCATCAACAGGGCTTGCAGTCAGGCCTCCAGCTCCCACCCCCCGTCCTGCTGCCTGGCAAAACGCAACATTTGAGAAGCCTATACTTTAGTGATGATAACTCTGTGCATTAGGACAATGTGGAGGTATATATTGGTAGCAGAGGACCATTTTCAAAATGGACCTGTAACACCTTTTCCATGGCTTCTCTGCATTTGAGTAAGTGAGAGTGTACATGTGTGCATATTTGTTTTATCATTACTGGAGACTGTCAAAGGCTCCAAATCGGCAGGTATCTGCTGCCAACACAAAGTCTGAGACCTGTTGAACATATTATCTGTTCTCTTATCATGAATTATGTTCAGAATGGTGTAACATTTATTTCCTTATTCAGATCATTCAAAAAGATGCCACTGGTCCAGATTGTCCTTTCTCTATGCAAAATCCCAGAGAGGTGACTTTCACCTGGAAATCTCCAGGAGGAGAGATGCTCTGGTAGCACAGTAAAGAAGAAATGTCCCCATGCAGATTAATTCACTATCACAGCACACACAATTTCAGGGCATGTCTAGTGTCTCTTACAGTGAATGCAGTCCATTGCAAAGCTACCTCAACTGGCTCTGAGATGGCTTGCCCAGAGACTGGTAGCTATCTAGCCATGGTAGTTCAGCTCTCAGCATAGGTGAATGAAAAACATCCCGAAGAGGAGCGTTGACTAGTATGTAGGTCAGGCAGAATTGATATCCCTAATAACAACATAAGAGAGGGAATAAACACGGGGTTAGTAAAACTGGAAATGATGATACACAGGAAGTATATGTGAGTATCAAGGATAGTACATAAATAACAGAGGAGATTTTAAGAGAATGAAATGATGAGAAGAAAGTAACAGCAGGAGATTTCTCTCAGAAAGATGAAGCCAGAGAATGCTGATGAAAAATAAATACATATCTTTGAAGCACAAGTTGCCACATCCAAACAGTAATCCTGTGAAAAAGCAGAGGTGAGAGTGGTCAATGAATCAAAAATAGATTTGAATGGAACTGGAGCACAAAGCAGAACCAGATATTTCCCTTTTAACTTCATCTGGAAGCTTTTGTCTGAAGCTTCTATTCCGTTTCTGATTCTTCACAATATCACATCATACATCCAAGATTGTAGCATATTTTAGACTGCAACATTAATTTCCAGCCAGGAGTGCATTTGAATTATGACTTTCTGAAGAACAATATCAGATGCATTGCTGAAGACCAATATGACAGCTGCTGCTTTCCCCTCCTATCTAACTGACAACCTCATTCTGCGAGCACTGCATCTGACAGTTTGAAGGTTTGATCTTAATATATGTGTGTGCACAGGTTTAGCAGGCAAAGAATCATAGAATCATAGAATCATAGAATAGTTTGGGTTGGAAGGGACCTCTAAAGGTCATCTAGTCCAACCCCCCTGCCATGGGCAGGGACATCTTCAACTAGATCAGGTTGCTCAGAGCCCCGTCCAACCTGACCTTGAATGTTTCCAGGGATGGGGCACCCACCACCTCTCTGGGCAACCTGTGCCAGTGTTTCACCACCCTCAGCATAAAAAATTTCTGCCTTTTATCTAGTCTACATCTACCCCCCTTTAGTTTAAAGCCATTCCCCCTTGTCCTGTCACA